CCCCTGCCCCGCCTCCCCCCCCCCCCCCCCCATAGTGGGCAGGTTGCATGTATTCATGTCATTATCCCCATAGTAAAGGGAACCACCACATCAATCTTTTTACTCTTCGTTTTCTTGATTTGGTAACCTGACTGACTCTACTTCTTGCTCCCCCAGGTCGGTGATGGGCATCCTCTGCGCTTATGGAGGGTTTTCACAGAGGTAGAGGCCCCTCCCAATACAGTGCTCTACAGAATACTTCGGGAGCGACACCTCTGGGACAAGGATCTTCTGCAGAGCAATGTTATTGAAACCCTAGAGAACAACATGGAGATTTACCATTACATCACAGGCAGCATGCCGCCCCAACCCCACAGGGACTTCATCCTTTTCAGGTGAGGGAAGAAGGCAGGGGAAGCCAGACCGGGATGTCCCCATCCCTTGCTTTGCAGGTTGAAGTGAACTGAACTTTCTAGCATGCACTTCCAGACTTATCCCTGTCACCTCCTCCTCCAGGCTGTGGTTTCCCACAGCACACTGCATTATAAAGAGACACATGAAAACCCAGTGGGCTTGGCAGAGGCAATGTACAACTCCTTGTTAGAGGTGGTCCAGAGGTTCTGAGCATGGGGTTTGTGCTTGTTCCCCTGTACAGGAAATGGCGCACAGATCTACCTCAGGGGACCTGCTTGCTCGTCTCCACATCAATGGATTGCGAGAAGCTGAAAGTGGAAGGAGGAGTCAGGGCAATGGTGCTAACCTCCCAGTACCTGATTGAACCATGTGGCATGGGCCGGTCCAAGCTGACGCACATCTGCCGAGCTGATCTCAGGTAAATCTCAAACTTTGCCCTTAAGCCTCTGTTATTAGAGAGGTGTTGGTCCTGCAGAAATGGGAGCAAAGGTCCTCTGGGTACCAGTGCTAGGTCTGTGACCTCTCCACTTAAGTTCCCATCTGCACAGTAGGGATGGTATATCTTCCTGCAGGTGGCACTGTGCAACATAACAAGTTTCTTTCTGTACATGCCATATAAAAGCAATCACTAGTATAGCTCATCCCCCTCCCCCCTTTACTGTGTATTATTTTACTCTACCCAAGAGCACACATCATGTAGCTAAATGATGATGATAATGATTTGTACTGCAGATGGGGCTCTGTTTTGCTCTGTGTTATACAAACAGAATATAAAGAGTTCTTGGCTCAGAGCATTTCTAATCTAAATTAGGGAGGACGCAGCAGAACACAAGAGTGGTAGTGGGGGAGGCTGGAGAGGGGGCTACCAGTGAAGGGTGGTCCAGTGAATAGGGGACTGGGCAGGAAGCCAAGGAAACTATCTTTGTTACCCAACTCAGCCTCAGCTTTCCAGAAGTTTACCTAGGCCCTCCTCTGTAAACTGGGGACCATAATTCTCTGGATCACCACAGTAGTGAGTTTAACAGCTAAGAGTTGCATGCAGCATGGGACAGTGGGGAAAGGACTATTTCCTCTGATGCTTGCTCACCTCAGAGCAGGTATGGTGACGCAGTCCATTTTAGCCAGGAATGACCACTACTGAAATATCTCTTCCAAAATGTTATATGGTTCTCCATTATTTGCTATCACCTTATTGCTCCCTTTCTACTATTCTTTCCCCAGGGGACGGTCTCCAGACTGGTATAACAAGACATATGGACATATATGTGCTATTGAGTTGGCCAGGATCCGTGATTCTTTCCCCACACTTAGTCCAAGTGGACCTGAGACCATGGTCTGAGCAGCTGTCACCCTGCTTTGGCAGAAGTGGAACAGAAGGGGGTCGAGTTTAGAAAGATGGTTCCCTTGTTAGCAAAAACAAGAGCAAATGAGTTTCTTATGTATAAATACTGTACATTTAGAATATTAATATATAAGCCAGGTGGTAGAGCTGAGTGATGTTCACTCTTAAGAGATGTGTATTTTGTATTTAAGGGACAGGTTTTTTTTGTATTGACTCAGAATGGGGCTTGTGTTTCCTCATCTGTGTAATAATAAAATCTTAACAGCATCCAGTATCTGGTGGTGAGTTCTGGGTGTTTGCTGCCTGCTGCTGTCTGTGCATCATTCCTTTGCAGAACCACCCCCAAAATGGGTGGCTGCAGTAGTGTGCAAGAACTTGCTAGGTTGTGGGTGATGCTAGGCTTTGGCAGGCCTGTCTGCTGTCCTGGGCCTTACACTGTTGCCTCACCCAGTGAATGATCTGAGTAGGGCTCCCTGTTTCAACTTCTGTTTTCTGCTCCCTTTACTCTTCCAGGGCTGCTTCTGCCAACTGCTCTAGTGCCCTCTGTCTCCCCAACAGGAAAACATCTCATGTTCTTCTCTCTAAACCAAGCAATGCAGTCTGCCCACCCCCTCTACCTACTGCCTGTAAGTGTAGGCAATGCAGTTTGTTGCCCAGTTGAGGACTTGCAGCTGTTTCAGAGCTACAGAGATAATGCAATGGGGAGAGAGAGAAATGATTATGAAATGATGACACCATATCCACAGCAGCTAGTTGAGTCTTGTGCTGAGCCAGAGGCAGCAAAGCCGTATCCCTGCTGATGATACACCCATGGCAATGAGAGAGCACTGGAACTGCCTGCTTCATGCAGCCACACATATGGAAAGTGAGCACAGCTCAGTTACACAGACCCACTGGCAATCACTGTGGCTGTATCTTCCTCCATAGTATCAGACACTGCTGCTGCACCTTGGAGCAGGAAGTCCCCATGTTCAGAAACTGTCTGAGATGAAGACAAATGCTTGGAAAATGTCTGTCAATCTCATTAGGCATCCCCTGTTCAGGAGGCATGTTGTTGTGGCAGGCAATGCCAGCCAGGGAAGTCACCTGGACACAACAGAACCATGGGCATGGAAAGCTTTATGCACAGTGTTATAAGGCTTTTCATGCACCTGGGGCTAGTGGCGAGGTACCACCAGGCAATGCTGGTGTATATGGATATCGGGAGGAAGGCCTTTTTGAGATCCTGGTCTGTCTTGCATTGACTGGTACTTTGTCTGCAAACGCAGCTTGATCTTCTAGAAAGAGGTGGTAGTGATGGTGTACAGAATGGGGTTCAAGGTGCTGTTGATGGGCAGGATGAAAGTAACCACTCAAGAGGTTATGGTACTTGTTCCAACAAGGACAGTTGGTCAGTAATGGTTGAGGTCCATGCCTGTTTCCCTAGAACACTGGTCCAGTGCTTTTTTGCTTGGCAATATTTAGGCAGATTCTCAGATTCTGTTCTCAGACACGGGTACAAGATGGAGTAAGCCCAGTTAAATCAACAAGAACCATTTCACAGCTACTGCTGTGTAAGTGAGAGCAGACTGATGCTTTGTGAGCATGAATGGTGAGAAAAAGAGGTCAGCTGACAGCACCCAGGTTCCACCCCCATACTCCCCTCACCCCAAGCAAACAGGGTCTGAGCTGAGTGCCACTGAATTCATTACCACCTGCCCATCCAGATTCTCAACGTTCAGAGGACAGTCCTTGAATCTGGAGATTGAGGTGAACACCTCCCACTGTCCTTCCCCTCTTACTCAGGCCCCTTGTCCCCCCTCAACTTATGTTGCTCCCTCTAATGTATGTTCCCAAATTCACCACAGTGAAAGCAGTCTCTGTTTTCATATCACAGGAGCTTTCCTCCAAAGACAGCAAGAAAGAATTGGCATGAATACCTAAACCAGAACCTGTGTTTTAGAGGAGTTTTAGAAGAGGGCGTTAAACCAGAAGGGATGCTAGAAGTAATTTAATTTCTCAAAAATGGTGAATCTCCAGGCTCAATGGGTTCCTTCCAGAGTCTTATTAATTTTTTAGAGAAGAACTAGTGCATCCATGTCAGAAGTTTTTAATAAGATACAGGAGAAAAAGATGTAGAAATTTGGAGTTCTGATTACACCAATTCACAGTAAGCATTGAATAAAGACAGAACAAATATACTGTCCAGCAGTCAAACTTTTCAAAAGACCTACAGAGTCAGTTGGGCCTGCTCCTGGAGGAGACGCACAGGTTAATGCCCATTGTGCCCCTGGGAGATGAAGACCCAGACCTGGACTCAACAGACCCCCCCCAACCCAGCGTACAGCCAGGAGGTAAGTGTACCGGGGCCAGGAGAGGGTGGGCAAGTGCAGGGGCACTTGGAGGGTGCTGTAGGGGAATGTGTGTGTGCATGCATGTGGATGGGGCCCATGCCAGGTGGGATATGCCAACCACGCCCCCCCCAGGGTCCCCAGGGGGTCCCATAAACAGCACATGCAAACAGGTGCAGCTCTACTTGGGTGCAGCAGTTTCTGTCAGAGCTTGTGCGGAGGGGCATGCAGAAGGCACCTGAAGGATTGGTCCAAGCAAGGGGTCAAAGCGCAGAAGCCTGAAGAGGACCAGGTAGGGGCATGAACTTGCTACCAGCCGTGGTAATGACTTGTCATGCTCACCGGCTTCCTGGCACTGCCAGGACTGACACACAGACAGAGCCCCTGGCCCCAGACTGCGGGAGCTGCCTGGCACAGCTGCTAGCAGCTGGGCGTGGGGACACCCCCACTTGCGGGGTGTGCTCCCTAGTGGAGTCTCTGGAGGGCTGGGTGCAGGAGCTTGAGGAGGAGGTACACCGGCTGCATGCCATCAGGACCCCAAAAGACTTCATCAATGGCTTCTGCCAGACCCTTCTCCAGAAGGAAGAAGAGAAGCAGATAGAGATGGTGGCCAGTGAGAAGGCAAACCCAGAGCTACCTGGACAAGTCACCTCACGCTCCAGGACATGGGACCAGGGCTGCTTCTCCCCTGGACCTGCACAACAGGTATGCTCTCCCCCACGCATGAGGAGGCTCCAATGGTGACACTGGAGGAGGAGGAAGGTAAGCAGCATGCTGTCACCCCAAAGAGGAGGTACAAGGTGGTGGTGGTGGGGGACTCCCTCCTATGGGGCACCAAGGGTCCCCTCTGCCGTCTGGACCCTCTAGCCTGTGGTCTGCTGCCTCCCTGGGGCCCGCATCCGAGATGTTGCAGAGAGCATCTACAGGCTCATCTGGCCTTCTGACTACTACCCCGTGCTCCTCATCGATGCAGGAACAAATGGCACGGCCAGGAGTAATCCAGATCGGGTCACGAGCGACTATAGGGCTCTGGCGGCTGGACTCAAGGGCCCATGGGCCCAGATAGTCTTTTCTTCTGTGCTCCCCATTGCAGGCCATGGACCCAGGGGGGAAGGATGCGTTGAGGAAGTCAACCGACAACTCCGGTGGTGGTACCACCATGAAGGCTTCGGTTTCCTCGACCACAGCACGCACTTCCGGGAGAGGACTCCTAGGAAGGGACAACATCCACCTCACATGGAGAGGTAAATCCCTGTTCTCAGCCAGAATGGCCGATCTTCTAGGTAGGACTTTAAACTAAGATTGCTAGGGGATGGGGAACCACTGACGAGCTTGCCTGGGGACCAACATACAAGAAAGCTCCATAGATAGAGACACTAGGAAAGCCACTTTTGTGGGAACTGAGGGAATAGTTCCCCTTCAGCAACTCAATAGGAGGACTCAGGTGCCTGTACACTAATGCCAGGAGCATGGGAAGTAAGCAGGAGGAGCTAGCCCTCCTGCTCTCTGATGGGCATTTCGACCTAGTATGGATTACAGAGACCTGGTGGAACTCCTCACATGATTGAAGTGTATCTAGAGGGCTATGCCCTGCATAGATGGGACCAGGTAGGAAGAAAAGGTGGAGGTGCAGCTCTCTATGTGAGGGAACAGTACACCTCCTTGGAGGCTGATATCAGCTCCAAAACAGAATGGCTTGAAACCCTCTAAGTTGAACTGCAGGGGGTTAAGGTTAGGGTTATAACTGTAGGTATATATTATAGGCAACCAAGCCAGGGGAAGGAACTCAATCTTGAGTTTGCCCAAGAGCTGGCAGAGGCCGCGCGTGCACAGGATGTGGTCATCATGGGTGACTTCAATTTTCTGGACATCTCTTGGGAGGAACACGCAGGCAAGTTGGACCAGTTGTGTTCCTTCCTGACCTGCATCAAAGAGCTCTTCCTGGCTCAGGAGGTGCACGGGCCAACCAGAGGTAATGTTCTCCTAGACTTGGTCCTGGCAAAGGGAGGCAGCCTGGTGACTGATTTAAATATAGAGTAGCCTGGACAACAGTGACTATGAAGCCATCATGTTCACTGTCCGTCACAAGGCAGACAAATCTGATAGCAGGGTTAAAGTCTTAGACTTCAAAAAAGCAAATTTAAACAAGCTCAGGTCACTAGTATGGGTTACGCTGCAGAACCAGGGACTGAAGGCGAAAGGAATGCGTGAAGAGTGGTCGTTCCTTAAGGACATGATCCTTGAAGCACAAAGGAAGTCCATTCCCATGTGGAGGAAAGGTACCAGAAGGGCTGGGAAGCCCTCTTGGCTAAGCAGGGAAATCACAATCCTCCTAAGAAAGAAGAAAGAGGCACACAAACAATGGAAGCTGGGGGCAGGCCCTAAGGAGGACTATACAACAACTGTTCGCACTTGTAGGGAATAAAGGCTAGGGCAGCAGAAAAGCTAAGGCAGCAACTTAACTTAGACTAGCAATGGGAATCAAGGACAACAAGAAGCCTTCTTTAGGTACATAGGGAATAGGAGAAAAACAATGGGCAGTGTGGGGCCGTTGCTCAACAACTCAGCACAGCTGGTTACTGGCATGCAGGAGAAAACTGAACTCCTGAATGACTACTTTGCTTTGGTCTTTCACCAGGGCAAGGGGAAGATCATGCCAAACAGTGTACAGAATGAACAGGACAGGAATGACCACTTTCCTACTATCACCATAGAACTGGTATGTGATCAGCTAAAGAAATCAGACATATTTAAGTCAGCAGGACTGGATGAGCTCCATCTGAAAGTGCTGAAGGAGCTGGCCAAAGTCATCACAGAGCGCCTGGCAAGACTCTTCCAAAATTCGTGGTGCTCTGGGGAGGTCCCTGAGGACTGGAAGAGGGCCATGTTGTGCTCATCTTCAAGAAGGGGAAGAGGGAGGACCCGGGTAACTATATA